ATTCTCTTTCAAATCTGCCTATGAAGAAGTAAGGGAGCTTTCATATAATCAAGAAGTCTACAAAAACATTTGGGAATCCCAGCAGGAGATGAAAATCAAACTTATATAGTGGAAAGTGGTAAAAGGGATCATCCCTACTTCTGATAAGTTAGAGAGATTCCAAAATATTTTGAAACCTTCCATATGCGCCCCCTATGCAGAAAGAATAGTGATACCATGAATCACATTCTCTATAAATGCCCTATATCTAAGCAGATTTGGGCACACTTTTGGGGAATTCTGGGTCTACATATTAACTCATCGATAGATTTCAATCCCATGAGATTGAAATGGGAGGAAAAAGGCAAGTCTAGTATGCTTCAAGTGTTCAGGAGAAATATTACAGGTATCATAATCTGGTTCATCTGGAAAACATATTCATCGATGATTTGGGGTTCTAATAGGAATCAGATACCAGCGCAACAAATCATCACTCAAATCAAGATTTACACCCAGTCTTGGGTGTATACTCTATCAGAACAAAAAGTTAGGTATGTTGAAAACATTTTGAAAGAAGAGCAGGTGATACCACAAAACTTCAAGATTAAACAGCCTAGACCACGAATTGTTAGATGGCAGAAAACGAAAAGAAGAAAGAAGCTAAACATTGATGCGAGTTACTTAGCTTCGAGAGCTTCAGCAGGAGCGATTCTTCGTGACAAGGAAGGGAGGATGATTCAGGCGATTAGTCTTCCGCTTCAGGCGACTTCGGCGCTAGAGGCTGAGCTGAAAGCTATTCTTGTAGCTCTGAGATGGGCGATGGAGAAAGGTTTTGGGGAATATGAAGTGGAATCGGATTCATTTCTGGCCTTGGAGTACATTGCAGGTAAACCGACAAGAAGATGGAACGGATTGGTTTTGGAAATCAAAGACATTGCTTTTAGGAAAGGTATTTCATTTGGAAATACTCTGAGGGAAGGAAATTGGGTAGCCCATCATTTGGCCTAATTGAACTCCAACAATAGATACAGTAGCCCGAATCATATGCCCATTAAAGCTAAACAGGCTTATTGGATGGATTTTTTAGGTATTCCCTCTATTCGCATTTAATTATTCTTTGTATGTTTTCAGAGAGGCTTTGGTCTGATCCTCCTCTCATGTATTACTTTTTGATTAATAAAATTCTGGTATCTGACACCCGGCATTTACCCCACTGATTTTGGTGGTTTGCCTTCCGGGATAAAAAAAAATATTACTATTATTATTACTATTATTATTACTATTATTATTACTATTATTATTACTATTATTATTACTATTATTATTACTATTACTATTACTATTATTATTACTATTATTATTACTATTATTATTACTATTATTATTACTGTTATTATTACTGTTATTATTACTGTTATTATTACTGTTATTATTACTGTTATTATTATTGTTATTATTATTGTTCTAATTATTATTATTATTATTATTATTATTATTATTTTTATTATTATTATTATTATTGATATTATTATTATTGATATTATTATTATTGATATTATTATTATTATTATTATTATTATTATTATTATTATTATTTTTATTATTTTTATAATTATTATTATTACTATTATTATTATTATTATTATTATTATTATTATTAGTACTATTATTATTATTATTATTGTTAGTACTATTATTATTACTATTATTATTACTATTATTATTCCTATTATTATTACTATTATTATTACTATTATTATTACTATTATTATTACTATTATTATTACTATTATTATTACTATTATTATTACTATTATTATTACTATTATTATTACTATTACTATTACTATTACTATTATTATTACTATTATTATTACTATTATTATTACTATTATTATTACTATTATTATTACTATTATTATTACTATTATTATTACTATTATTATTACTGTTATTATTACTATTATTATTACTGTTATTATTACTGTTATTATTACTGTTATTATTACTGTTATTATTACTGTTATTATTACTGTTATTATTACTGTTATTATTACTGTTATTATTACTGTTGTTATTATTATTATTATTATTATTATTATTATTATTACTAGTATTTTCACCCGTGCGTTGCACGGGAGTGAAAAGGCCATTTTAATTTATTCGATATTAATATATATTTTCTCCCAACATGGGCTAAAACATTATTATATATTATTTTATAGTAATTTAATTATTTTCCTAAATGAATGCATAACATGTGTCTTTTGATTTGAAATAAAAAGCTCTCAATTTTATTCAAGACAAAATGTAATATTACAAATTGTTAAAGACCTCTTTGTATACAACATTTAAAGTGGAGTTTGTCGGTCTACCATTATCGTCACATATCAAAAACTTCAAACCAGTTGGACTCGTGACTCTTGATACAGCAACATAAAGCTGCCCATGGGTGAAAACCGGTCGCCGTAAGAATATCCCCACATTTTCCAATGACTGGCCCTGACTCTTATTTATAGTCATAGCATAACTAACCATCAGAGGGAATTGTCTACGCTGAAAGGTGAATGGCAGTATGACATCAAAAGGAGTCAAGGTAAGACGGGGAATGAAATGTTTTTGGCCGGCAGTTGGCCCTGACAACATTTGGGCCTCAATAACATGCTTTCCAAGTCGGGTCACTAAAAGTCGAGTGCCATTACACAAACCCAATGATTGATCAAGATTCCTCATAAGCATCACAGGGGCACCCACTTTTAATTTGAGCTCATGGCTAGGTACTCCGGAACATTTGATTCCATTAAGGAATTCTGGAGAATGGATCTCTTGCAACAAACTACTATCAGAATCAGATAATGATGCAGAATCGGAGCTGAAATATGTCTTCATCTCTGATGGTAGTTGTGCGAGCATGTAATCATTAACCTTGTCCACCTCGTCAACTGTTGGCGCAAGTATTGCTCTTGACATTAAATATGATGGTGATGTGCATTGTGCTAAGAAATTGGGGTATGTACTCTGGACAATAGAAGTATCTGGATCAGAAATCCAAGGCACGAGGAATTCTTCAGGTATGTCCATATATGATTCTCCATCCTCATTGTCACCTAGAACTCCGTCCCCTATCTTTAAAATCCAATCAATGAACCTTTTTATGTATGCAGAGTTAACATCGTCTGATCCACTTCGCACTCTCATGTTCTTCGTTAGCCTTAGTACCTTGCAAAAGGGCCAAATGAAGGATGAGTTTAAAGTCGACAGCACAATTTCTTGCCTGCTACCCTTTGGAATTACCGGTAAAATCTGTCTAAAGTCTCCGCCAAAGACAATTGTCTTTCCACCAAAAGGTTTGCTCCCATCACAACCGTATGAATGTCGAAGAATATCCCGCATGGTTCGATCAAGAGCTTCATAGCAGTACTTATTAATCATGGGTGCCTCGTCCCAAATAATCAATTTCGTCATTTGAATTAGCTTCGCAAGTGCACTTCCTGGCTTTATGTTGCAAGTTGAATCTTCTGCTGCTGTGAGTGGGATTTTAAACCTAGAAGTTACAATTCATTTTGTTAGTATTTATTTGGAGTTATAAGTTTTAAACCAAAAAAGCGAACCTGGAATGTGCCGTTCTTCCACCTGGAAGGAGCAATGATGCGATCGCACTTGAAGCTACGTTCAACACAATATTTCCTTGATGCCTTATATATGCTGATAAGGTCTTCCACAGATATGTTTTCCCTGTACCGCCGTGCCCATATAAGAAGAACACACCGCCACGGTTGGCCTCTACAGAACTCACTATTGTCTCATAAACACGCCTTTGATCCTCCGTCAAGGCGGAAATTAATTTAGCATGTTCCTCCGCCAAAGCAAGTCTGTCATATCTCAATTCCTCGTGTATCAAAACATCATCGAGAGAGGGAATGTCAAGATCCGTCACTCGAGGCATTCCGTCATAGTAGAATAGAGACTTTCCACGATGTTGTAGAATTTTTTCAACTTCCAACAAACAATAATTCTTTATTTGCTTCTCATCAAGCTGCAGTTCTGTAAAAAACATAATGGTTAGTGCAATTTTAATATTAATAAATTTAAGAAGTAATTAGAATATTTTTTAAATTTCTAAATGCTTAAATAATTAAATTTGTGTGTATCATAAACAAACAACACATCTTTAAATATGATGTTGTGGAAACAAATTATTAAACCAACTACTATCTAAAAAATAGTTTATTAAATTATATATATTGAACTATTTTTGAACACTTTTTAAGAGAAGTACTTCATATTTAAAAATTATCTATGACATAAGAGTAAATTTTACCCTGAGATCAATATGCAATTTATTACAATAAAAAGTTTCAATTTTTTGATATTAGTGAATAATGATCGTTAACTATAATATATATGAAAAGGTAATTTTTAATTTCAAAATATCTTTCATATTGTAAATCTACATCACTCTTAATATTGGCATTTATTGAATTTATCTAAATTTTAGGAATGCCATTAAATAATAAACATACCTTGATCATTGAGATTCTTCCTAATAGTGTAGAGTATATCATCAGATAGATATGGCCAATACTTCTCCCAAACCATACTGGGCATAGATAATGACTCTTGTAGTAAAAGATGAACAAATGTGACGTGAAGTTCATGCGCTGTTGCCCAATGACTTTGTTCTATAAGTCCATCTATATAGTCTTTATCGTCATTTAACATACCACGTGCAGAGCAAGCTTCTCTGAACGTCGAGTGTATGACTCCATCAACTGTTCTGAGTTCTTCCAAACTCCTGGCCCCCTTCACGACACCAAGGAGCATCCTTAAATAATATTTCTCTCAGGCTTCAGGTCGCATGAAGTATAGTCTTCCAATTGCGGTGCTTCTTTGTCTTGGTACCCACTCTCTTGTTTTGGTTTTCCACGTGAACTTGGTAGGAAATTCAGCATAAGTCAAGCTCCTAGCTTGAGGATACACACTGTTTGCATGCATCCAAGCTAGAAACTTAGTATTGTGGATAGTAGGACGTCTAAGAACAGAACTGACAGACTCTTTAGGATTATAGTACACACTATGTTGCCCAGGGAGATGAAAGCTTAGACGTTCAACTGCGACGTCCCTATAATGAATGTGAAATCCAAAGATTCTCCAAGCCGCTTCACATGCAGAGATATATCTACAATCGTAATACATTTTGATCTCATCAACCTTTTCTACCTTACGATTGTCGGATGCCTCAGAGAATGCTACTGTGATCCGATCATTACCCTTATTAATGTACTTGAAGAGGTATTTCACTGCCCGGGTTTGATTACACCACTCAACATTAATGTGAGCCCCATACTTGAGCAGTAATGTACGGTTATGAGGGATGACAAATCTATTGTCAAGAAGAGTCTCATTCTTCATTACACTCCTTCCATTGTCTCTTCTTCTGTAAATGGGAAATCCACTTCCATCAATTGTAGTACGTCTCACAAATTTCTTCGGAAAGTGTTTCGTGCAGTGACCATTCTCCATACACGGCGAAGATTTGTTCAGAACCCCACAAGGCCCGTGCACCATTAACTCTTTGACAGCAACATAATAATCATGGTCATTTTTCTCATCCGGAATTTCAGCTGAGATGATGCTGTCAATGTCTGATGCCAATATAGTCGTGTCCTTTCGCGTCAACCATAACACAATATGAGCATGTGGCAATCCACGTTTCTGAAACTCCACAGTGTATACAACTACATAGGATAGAATTATTTATGTGTTATTTTGTCATTGGATGAAATTATAGTTGTTTATCTTGAAGAAAAGTATTAATAGTAATGTAATTAAATAAAACTTCACTAACTAATAAATAGAATCAGCTCATACCTGCTTTAACTTCACCGAATAGTCTATTTTCTTTCAAGTCTTTTATGAGCATTTCAAGTTTGATCTTGAAGATTCTACAAATGATATCTGGACGATCATCCGGAGCAAGTCCTCTACACTCGACGTAGCGAACAATCTCAGGCCACTTTGGGTTACATGTAAACGTGATGAAGAGTTGTGGGTATCCTGTCCACCTGCAGATGCTCATCGCATCCTGGTAGTTTTGAATCATGTAACGTGCACTTCCCGTGAATGAGTTAGGAAGTACAATGAGTTGTCCCAATCTGGATCCGTCAGTTTCACCACGACCGACAGCATCAACCAATCCCGTATATAGTTCACTTCGCAAGTCCTTTTGATGTAGTCTAATATATGCCAAACGACATGACTCAATCATGGTATATCCATCAACAATAAATTGCTGGAATAATCTCTTCGATCTCAATATGTAAGGGGACTCACTCTTCCTTTCTTGCAACCTGTATGAGAAGAACTCTTTCATTGTAACATGTTTTCTTCTTCTTGTGGTAGCTTGAGATGCACGTGTCAGGTTAACATCCTCTCTAAAACCATCTTGACCATAGGGGAAGAGTAACGGATATTGTAATCCTAGAAAAGAAGGATTCAGTTCCGATATAATTTGAAACTTTTCTGATTTCTTCTGAAGAACAACATCTCTCTCTTCACAATATCTCTTTGTTAACAAAAGTTGATAGCAAAGCAATTTGAAAGAAACATAACTTTAATTTATATGTGTTGTGGTTGTTAAGAATATATAACATGATATTAGGTATATATAGGAGTGTGATAGAATTATAGTAGATTCCTCTTCTCATTCAACGTTATCTTTCAATAATAGTAGTGTAGTTGTAGTGAAATACATCTTCTAAGCATTATGGATAAATATTATCAATTGAAGATCATAGTTATCCAAATACTCAATGGAGTTTATTTAATAACTCCATACGTGTGATTCTTTGCTCAGTCCAATTGGACTTCCTCCAATCCTGGACTCTTCACCAGGAACTGGTCCAACAACTCTATCTTAAAAAATGCTTGTGGAGTCAAGCTCCATGAAGCCTAGGTGACTGCCATTCTCAAAAGTGATAGGTGATGTCATCTAGTGACTGCCATTCTCAAAACATTATCACAGAAAGATTATTTTCTTCTTGGTTACACAATAAGTATGTATGTCATTGAACATCCCTTAACTTCTTAAGAAGTGAGTCCATAACAATTGACATTGTCTCTTTTGTTTAAAACAATACTCAATAGTCAATAAACATTATCTACAGAATCTAACATGATTTAAATATAAAGCAATTTCAATAAGAGTAGAACAATACGGAGTATAATTTATACATGAGATATAACTTATAGTTCATAGTACGAAATTCGAGTAATCAAAATCCAGCAACGATGCCTAAAAATAATACGAAGTATATAGAAGTGAAAAGATTTATTCCAGTCGAGCTTGGCATATTGATTCATCATTTGCATTTAGAAATTGCAAATGAATATTATTCGTTCATAAAAGGAACTGTATCTAGTGTCTGAAACAGAAGCTAACTTACTAAAACACAAATAAACAGGATAAATAACATTAATTCTGAAAAGTAAAAGAACAAAGTAAACGAAAAGATAATGCTCAAGCATCCGGCTTTTCAATCTTGATTCCCTTGAGTTTCTTATTTGTTGAACTCTGCGTAGAAGAGTCAACATGTTGCTCAACGTTTGAAGGCCTCTTTAATGTTGAAGAAGGGGTGATTTGTATTATGATGTCGTCTTCAGTTGAAGATGGTGTCTACATGCAAACATTTGTCAATTAGGAGTGAAGAGTCAAACATATTCGGATGGATAAATAAACAGTAAGTACTTACTATATTAGATTCAACTGTGACTGGAGAAGAAAAAAGTAAATCAAGATCCTCATCAGAGTTATAGTCCTGAACATTTAAAAGGAGACCTCATTAAGATCCTCATCACAGTACACTCATTAAATTATATGAGCGTTGAATAGTCCTGCTTCAGAATACGTTTATTAAATTATTATAGAAATAACAATCAGCCTTTCAGGCTTCTTTGCTAAGAATATTTATTCAATCTAACATGTGAGTATGACATTTGATACTTATTCAGTAACTGGTTACATAACTAATTGGGAAAGGTACACATTTTTTTAAATTTCAAAAGTGCAATTTCAAAAGTTTGATTTAGTTACATGGAAATAATCAAAATAGAACTTTTCCTTCTGGGGAGTTCATTTCCTAAAAGCTTGGTTGTGTTGAATGCAGCTTGTCATTCTGGTGCTTCATGTGTGTTAAGTTAATGTACAACTTACATATAGTTTTAATAAATGTAATCGTAATTAGAATAAAAATGAAATCTATTAGAGTAGAGATAATTACTATTAACAAAGAGATACGTATTAAGAGAGAGTTCATAGACTAACCAAACTAATCTGCCCAATCATTCAGATAATCAACACATTATGATTACTCAAGTACACTTTATTTCGTTAAATTAAGAATGTAAGTTAGGATTCATCATATTTATCCAGGCAGTACTCCTTTGTATATGTTTTAAACACCAAAACGTTTGATGAATGTGTGTATCCAGAATCATCAAATTGATTACTTTAGGACTAATTGGGATTAAATTCGAAAAATAGGTGAAAGAATTTGCCTGAAGTTTCAAAAATTGTACTCAAGAAGCCTACCTCTAAACTGGAGGTGGATAAGTTTTATATGAACCTGCGTTTGGCTGGGAACAGACCAAAGTTGCTATGAACAAACCAAAAGTGAAATTAAATACATAAGTGGTATAGCATATAAAATTTTAATGTCTAAAATTAAAAAGTTATTATAAAAATGAGCAAGTTCTTAGAAGAGTAGTGAACATGGAAAACGAAAGGAATAATATAATCAAGTGAAGAACTTACTGATTCTTGTAAATTTTGATTGAAGAAAAACGTGTGATATTTTTCACAATTTCCCAAGTAAAGTTTATCTCTACACTAAATCATTTTTCCAATAATAATTGAATACCTAAATGAATTTAATAGGATTATAAATTCATGTAAGTGCATATCTTGTGTACCATTGGTCAGTGTAAAATTACAGAGAATTGTACCTGTCTCCCAGACTGATTGGCTCCAACAGACTTAAGCTCCTCAATTTTATCTTGATCGGTTGAGACCATACCAATTGAATAACTCTTTCCGTTTAAAGGGGAGCCAGATTGACGGTCAAGTTTAAAGACAAACTCACGACCTACCAAATCTTTTATTTCATCTGGGCAGCCTGAAGGTGATAGCCTCTCCTACACATGCAGAGTAATTGCACATATTGAAGTCGGATTTATTCATATTACTAAATTTAAAATCAAATCAAATGGATTTGCATTTGTAATGATAAAAAATTGTGCAAATTAAGTATACTGTGAGGTAGCATTACCATGTCATAATAGTGACTGGGGAAATCTCCAGCAGATTTTCCAATCAAACGATTGCTCACAGCATCCCAGAAAACCAAATTTGCAGAATTATTGTTATGGTTAGCCTTGAGTCTTAAATTGTATCTCCAAACACCCTCTCCATCAGCAACTTGAATCCCACACTTGTCGCATACTAATTCTCCATTCCCAGCCTTACTCAATTTTTTATAACATTTGGTCATTTTACAACCAAGATAAGCCCATGTGAAATAGCTTGTTATGGAACTTATTTGACCATAGAACCAACAACCACGAACCTATTATCACATAAAAGTGTACATATTAGCAGTAGGTACAATTTTAGTAACAGGTAAATTTATGTATTTTATGCACATCTGTATACATACTCAAATGAATCACTACATTCCAAATTATTAATTCTTGAGCTTATAATGATCTATTACCTTTTAAGAGATTAATGTTCATTTTTCAAATCACTAAGTTGTACAGATTTCATTTGAAAGTAGAATAACAACGTTGAAAATGTATTTTTGTTTACCTCGACTGCTTTCTCCAATTCAGACAATGGCATTGTGAAGCCAATTTCTGTACCGCTACCAACGGTTACTGGACCAAAAGAGGAACTGTGACTTATTGCTTGAGAAGTGTTACGTGTGGTTTCCAGATACCTATTACCAGAATAAAGATTTTAGTGCATTTTTAACCCAACATTATTCTATAATAGACTTGAGAATAATACATGTTGAAAGTGGTAACTAATACAAAAATATTTTAGATATCATTTTACCTAAGGCGAAAGTCTTCTATGTCTGGGACATGTGCATCAAGAAGAAGTTTTGTCACATGGTAAGATGTAGCTACACCGTTTGAGGAACATCTGCCTAAAACAGCCATATATTTGCATATGTTTTTATCAACTAAAAACTATAAAAATAAAAATAATGTCTCAATGATAAGAAATAGATGCATGTAATTAACCATATTTTGGATTAATACGGCACATCTGTAGCAAGATAACAACTGGATTTGTTCCCGGTTGAGATAAATACGTCTCAAACTGGTCCACATACACATTCCATAAAGTACAAAAGAGACTTTTATTCCTATAAAGAAAGAAGATAAGCGTAAGAATGAGAATGAAAGATAAATATAGATAATCTTAATAACATACAATTGGAAACGGGGCCAATTTGATATACTTAACTCGATGTCCCGAATATAAAAGTTAGTGTATGTTGATCCTGAATCGGTATAATGCTTACTGAATTTTTCGAGGGGATTGTACACACCAATTACATCTAAAAATAAGAAATAGAAACTCATTTAGGTGACCATATATAGATGCAGTTATATGATTTGTGTTTATTATAAAGTTCTACATATAAGTATTATTATATTACTAAACTCTTACCAATGAGATCTGTAGTACTTTTTCCATCAGGGCAGTTGTGAATATCGTTGAAAGAAGTAAAATTATAAATGTGTAGGGGAAAGTCCTTATGGTCTTTTAATTCCTGACACTTAACCTTAGTTCCTTCATGGAATTGTAACCTGAAAGGGTGTGATGCCGGTCTCCACTTTCCATTATTCGCCTTGACAGTGAAATTACACATGGCATACAACCCACCTTCTTCCAACTGGCTTTCAAATAGTTGAATTTCCGTACGGGATATAGATGCTTGAATGCGAACTTCCTATAAAAAGATTCCAAGGATCATTAAGAACAATTATCATTTGGATAAAAATATCTATAAAAGATGTGTAGGATAAGATACTTAGATTTCTTAGAAGTTTTAATGATTGAATCCAATGGAAGAAACTTAGCACATTTCATCGAATAGTATGGTTTGTCATTTTCACAAAGCAGATGAACAAATCAGTTTGATTAAAGATTTGTTCTTTAATTAACATATCAGCTTGATGGTCACAGACTCACAGCTAGGTGTTAAATTAAGATCATTATACTGGATAATTAAATTCTGAACTGTGAACAAATATATGTTCATTAAAGCCATTCATATATTAATATTCATTACAGATAGTATCCATTACAGACATATTCATTACGAATAGCATCACAGATAAACCAAAACCATGTTAGCAATGCAGCACAAATACTATGAGAAAAAGTGACTAAACATATTTCAGCACTTTTAAATTTCTCAATGGTTTAGTTCACATCAACTAAAACAAATTCCATGGATTTTTTACATTCTCATCAAGTAAAACCATATGCTATTCATTACGAATAGCATCACAAATAAACCAAAAGCATATAATCAATTCAACACAGATACTATGAATAAAAGTCACTAAAACATATTTCAGCACTTTTAAATTTTTCAATGGTTTAGTTCCCATCAACTAAAATAAATTCCATGGATTTTTTACATTCTCATCAAGTAAAACCACATGCTATTTATTACGAATAGCATCACAAATAAGCCAAAAGCATATAATCAATTCAACACAGATACTATGAATAAAAGTCACTAAAACATATTTCAGCACTTTTACATTTTTCAATGGTTTAGTTCCCATCAACTAAAACCAGTTCCATGGATTTGTTACCTTCTCATCAACTAAAACCAATTCCATGGATTTATTGCCCCTTTGTGCATCATCATATGGCACCATCCACTTACGAACAACACGTAATAAAAAGGCTTCATGACGTTGGAGTTGAAGTGTCACGTCAGATAAAATCTTTTTAACGGGAGGCATTGTTTTGTGAACTAAAGGGGTATGGGAACTAAAGGGGTCTCACATAATGAATTTAGAGTAAGGGGTATTATATATAGCTATGGGAAAACTATAGACGTAGAGTTGGTGTAGGACACTTCAAGTAAATAAAAAATCAGTTAGCAGAGAGAGAAGTATCGAAAGAGAGATAAGCTGCTCATCCTATTATTTAGGAATAGCTTACGTTGAGGGACTCTAATCATTAATTGAATGCTAAATAGGGATGGAATTATTTAAAAGAGAAATAGTCCTCCCTAAAAAGAGAGATAATTTTTTAGAGAGAGATAAGTATGGAGGTCTCCTTTTAAGTTTAGAAGAATATAAATTTATAAAATCAGTGTGGGGAGAATAACGGGAAATTTTTAGATAAATAAAAATATATAAAACTTACGTTAAGCAGCTCATCCTATTATATAGGAATAGCTTACGTTGAGGGACTCTAATACATAAAAATATCTAATATAGCTCATCCTATTATATATGTATGAAAATATGTAAATTAGCATAATTTTAGTAGAATATTACTAAAACATAAAAATGTTAAACATCAATTAAAAAAAATCATTTCTGAAGGTGGTTGAATTTATCTATTCACATGTGGGGGAAATTTGTTCTGGACTTAGAAAGAAGGTAATACATTGTCAAAAAAACAGAAGCTCTGAAGAAATTACCATTGAACTTGATTTGAAATTAATTAAATTGGATTCGAAATTTAAGTAAATAAGTATAAAAAATTGCAGATGTTTCAGGGTGTCGTGGCAGTAATCTTTCCTCCGGCAAGGAATTTTTGTAAAAAACAGAATTTGAGAAGAAATCCATCTAGAATTTCAACAGAATTGTAGGAATGATCAAGAATAGTTGTCAAAAAGAATAGAAACACTTAGGGTCGTTTTAGAACTCAGTAAATGCTAGAAACACTTACTGTCAAAAAGAGTAAAACAGAATTTGAGAAGAAATTACAAATTAAGTTGATTTGAAATTAAAGAAAGTTGATTTGAAATTAACTAAATTCGAATAAAAACCTGCGGACATGGAGCATTTTTTATGGACTTTCTTCCGGCAAGTAATCTTTCTTCCGGCAGAAATCAATTTACGATTTGTCATGGAGCAGGCGGATCTATTGGCAGAATTCTTTCATCCGGCAAAGAATTCTCTCTATTGGCAGACCTCCTTCTTCCTAAAAAGGGGAAAGTTTTATTCATTTGCTCCATTGAAATGAAGGAATTTGGAGATAAGAGATAAGAGATTCTAGAAAATAATAGGGATCAGTGATAAGAGCAGGAAGAGAAAAAAATGAAAAGAGTGGGTCGGTTGATTAGAAAAGAAACGGAGTGAAAAGAAATATGAACGGTGCAGATCATTTCAAAATGAAGGGTGCAGATGCATTTGTATTCCTATTAAGTATATAGGATTATTATTATTATTATTATTATTATTATTATTATTATTATTATTAATATTATTATTATTATTATTATTATTATTATTATTATTATTATTATTATTGTTATTATTATTATTATTATTATTATTATTATTATTGTTATTATTATTATTATTATTGTTATTATTATTATTATTATTATTATTATTATTATTATTATTATTATTATTATTATTATTATTATTATTCTTATTATTAATATTAGTATTAGTATTATTAATTTTATAACGAACCAGACCAGACTAGACCAAAACAAACCACACCAAAACAAACCAGACCAGACCAGCAAATTACGGTCCAAGTAAAAACTTCCTTAGAGCTCCGATCTATCTTTCCAACGGGATATAATACGCTCCAAACGGATAGACACACAGCAAGATATGAGTGTTACAAATACTTAGCCTTATCTCTATTATTTAGCAATTTCAATGAAAATAGAGCACTTTTAGCGTACATACAATGTATTTTAGTAATTAGGCAATCATCCCTTGATATTTCGAAACCAGCGCCTGAAGACAAGTTATAAAACTCGGTATGATCTCTCCAACAAGATATTAAACGCTTTCAACGACACAAAATAGAGCAAGATCTGATCGCATTAAATTCTACACAAGTTGTGAATATATGGTTAATCTGTAACTTTTAATTAATCCATTGTAAATGAAGTTGGAAAATAGCTATAGAGCTCTGATATATCTTTCCAACGAGATATAATACGCTCCAAACGGATAAACACACAGCAATATATGAGTGTCACAAATACTTAGGCTTATCTCTATGATTTAGCGTTTTCAGCGAAAATAGAGTACTTTTAACGTAAATATAGTGTATTTTAGTAATTAGGCAATCATCCCTTGATACTTTGAAACCCGCGCCTGAAGACAAGTTTTAGAACTCGGTAAAATCTTTCCAACGAGATATTAAACGCTCTCAACGGCACAAAATATAGCAAGATATGATCGCATCAAATTCTACACGAGTTTGGAGTGAAATCAGAAACATTTGTGAATATACAGTTAATCTGTAACTTTTAATTAATGCATTGTAAATGAAGTTGGAACAATAGATTTAGAGCTCCGATCTATCTTTCCAACGAGAAATAATACGCTCCAAACGGATAAACACTCAGCAAGATATGAGTGTCACAAATACTTAGCCTTATCTCTATGATTTAGCGTTTTCAGGGAAAATAGAGCACTTTTAGCGTAAATACAGTGTATTTTAGTAATTAGGCAAACATCCCTTGACATTTTGAAACCAGCGACAGAAGACAAGTTTTAGAATTCGGTAAGATCTTTCCAACGAGATAGTAAACGCTTTAAACGGCACAAAATAGAGCAAGATATGATCACATCAAATTCAATACGAGTTTGGAGTGAAATCAGAAACATTTGTGAATATATGGTTAATCTGTAACTTTTAATTAATGCATTGTAAATAAAGTTGGAACAATAGCTTTAGAGATCCGTTCTATCTTTCCAACGAGATATTATACGCTCAAAACGGATAAACACACAGCAAGATATGAGTGTCACAAATACTTGGCCTTATCTCTATGATTTCGCGTTTTCGGCGAAAATAGAGCACTTTTAGCGTCACAAAAGTGAATTTTAGTAATTAGGAAATAATCCCTTGATATATTGAATCCAGCGCCTGAAGAAAAGTTTTAGAACTCGGTAAGATACTATTGCTAGCATCTTGGAATGTAAGGGGGCTTAATCAAGCCTCAAAACAAAATACTATTGCTAGCTTTGTAAGAAACAATAAGGTACGTATTTTATGCTTGCTAGAAACTAAAATGAATCCTACTTCCTTTGATAATTTTTTGAAGTTTCGGTTTAATGCATGGAACTCTATAACCAATTTTGATAAAATGAATGGGGGTCGCATGGCTATCATTTGGGACCCTAATTTTGTAGAAGGTGTTGTATTAGAAGTGGATAAACAGCATGTTCATGCTAGGTTTACATGCAAAGTTACACAAATGCCTTTCTATGTGACCTTTGTTTAAGCTCTTTACACAATTGTGCAAAGGAGGGATCTTTGGGAGCACTTAACCGGTTTAAGCACTAATACCCTAGCTCCTTGGGTTGTTTTGGGGGATTTCAATTGTGTTGGCTCTCCTTGTGAGAGGAGGGGGTCTGCCCCTCCCTCGGCCTATGCAATGAAACACCTCAACGACATGAAAATACAATCTACTCTCTTTGATGCTCCTTCTACCGGTGAGTTTTTTACTTGGCATAGGGGAGCAATTTGGGCTAAATTGGATAGGGTCCTTATAAATTCTTTTTGGAACACACAAAATGTGGCATGTAGAGCTCATTTTCTTGATATGGAATGTGAGTTTGATCATGTTGCATCTTTGGTTACTATTGGGGCCGAAACCACAAAGAAATCTAAACCGTTCAAATTTTTTAACATGTGGTTAAAACATGAAAGATTTCATATGATTCTTGAGAGTTTTTGGAGTAGGGAGGTTGTTGGTTCGGCTCAGTTTAGGCTCGCTCGCAAACTGAAATTACTTAAACAACCCCTAAAACAACTCAATAAAGAAGAATTTAGCCACATTTCATCTAGGGCAAAGGTATCTAAGAAGGAGTATAAGAGGATCTATCAATTAGCCCTCTTGTCTCCTTTGGATGAAGCCCTAAAAGAAGATCTTTTAAATGCAAAAAAGAGGGCAATGTTTCTAAAAGAGGCCGAGGAAGCCTATGTCAAACAGAAGGCCAAGGCTGTCCACATTTTACAATCGGATAAGTGTACCAAGTATTTCCATTCTATTGTTAAGAAGAAAAATGCTCAAAACTCTATTGCTTCCTTGAGATTGGAGGATGGAAGTCTTACACAATCCTTGGATCAGGTAGCAAATGAGTTCATTGATTTCTTTAAAGGTTTATTTGGTACTAATGTTCCTATGCATGATTATGATCCGGGGGTTATCTCCACTGGTAAGATCATTGACCAGACTCTCACTTATGACCTTATTAGCCCGGTGACTGATAAGGAAATAAAGGAGGCTGTTTTTGACATTGGAAATGATAAGGCCCCCGGTCCGGATGGGTTTTCTTCAGCTTTCTTTAAGAATAATTGGAATTTAGTGGGAAAAGATGTGTGTGGAGCTGTGAGGGAATTTTTTGTCTCTGGGAAGATGCTTAAACAGGTCAATCACACTGTTGTGTCCCTTATCCCCAAGACAAACCATTCCCCCATGGTATCTGATTTTAGACCAATTTCATGCACAAATGTCACGTATAAGGTTATTACTAAGATCTTATCTGCGCGTTTAGGGCCGTGTCTTGCTAGTATTATTAACCCAGCACAGGGAGCTTTTGTTGATGGAAGGTTGATGTCTGACAACATCTTCCTGGCACAAGAGTTAGTGAGGGGTTATACTAGGAAAAGGCCTTCTCCTAGATGTATGATTAAAATAGATCTTAGGAAAGCCTATGATACAGTCTCATGGGAGTTTCTTGGTAAAGTTCTTTTGGATATTGGTCTTCCTGAATTGTTTGTGAAATGGATCATGGAGTGTGTCACAACCTCCTCCTTCTCTATCTCCATTAATGGAGCCCTACATGGCTGGTTTGAGGGGAAAAGAGGTCTTAGGCAGGGGGATCCTATGTCCCCCTTGCTGTTTGTGATTTGCTTAGAGTACTTTTCGAGGCTAATGGAGATTAGGACCTCGGTTCCTAGTTTCCGTTATCATCCTTTGTGCTCCAAGCTTAAGATAACACACCTTGCATATGCAGATGATTTAATGATTTTCTCTAAGGCAAGTTATCCATCTATTAAAATCTT